GTGGGGCGTTATAATGTGACGATCAATCCCACTATTCGTTGGTAAAAGAGTAGCCCAAGAGCTGACAGTGGGTAGTGATGACTAACTGCCTGCTCTCTAATCTTTCACGGGTAAATTAGGGATGGCAAATGCAGATAGCCCTCGTGCAGCTTTGCGCGAAATTCAAAACAAACCAAACAATCTTAGGCCTTTCTTAAGTACACCCTATATTCGATAAAGATATAAATTAACACTGTAACTTGTTTACGTTTTTTGCTTTAGTTTAGTTAGGACTAAACTCTACCGTACCGAATACTATAAATATATATAAAGTTATTCTATGACCTAACGTTAGATTTTTTATAAACTTAGATAAACCTTTTAATATGTTGTTGTACAAGACCTCTACTAAAGTATATTTACGTCCACCTTTTGTTTGCATACGTTGAAATGAAGTGTGCGCGCATGCGCATTTAGATAGTAAGGTGCGCACTCATTTCAGGACAAACTAAAAACTGAGTATTATTATATTTTTGTTTGTTTGAACTTAAGCACAAAGCTACACAATGGGCTATCTGTGCTCTGCCCCCACGGTATCGAAATCCGATTTCTAGCGTTGTAAGTCCGTAGACATCCCGCTATGCCACTGGGGGGAGGGAGGCATTATTATAATAGATTAAACAGATAAAAAGCGAACTTTAAAAAACAAACAACCAAAATTGAGTTTTGAATAAAGAAAGTGATTCGCTCATAGAAAGCAACTAACTGGAGTTAAAACTTACAGTAAATATTTATTCATTGTCCCAAATTCTTCTACTACAAAAGAACTGAAAGCCTGTCTAAAAAAAATAAAATAATACTACATAAAATAGCCTGTTTAAACTTTTTTTCTTCCCCAGGCACAGACAAGTTAGGATTTGAAGATGAAGGCTGTTGTTCAATGGTTGCAGATTGTAGATGCTACGAATAACATCTCGGTTACACAGCCTAAGGCACTTGAATACAGTTTAACTTCCCTACATTACGACGGAAAGAGATGGAGAATGGAATAAAAATTTAGATTTTATAGATTATTTTATTCTTATATATTCAATATAAAGCCTAAATCGAACAAGAAAAATAGGCCAGTTTTGCCATAACAAGAATGGTCAAAACATTAACGATTTAACAATATATATCCATTGTTATGTTTCACTGTCTTACATTCACGTATTGTTTAGCTTCTCTGTGTTATATCCATGTATTGTTTAGTTTCTCTGTGTTATATCCATGTATTGTTTAGTTTCTCTGTGTTATATCCATGTATTGTTTAGTTTCTCTGAGTTATATCCATGTATTGTTTAGAAATTACAATAAAAACAATTGTTCACTTAATGGCTAATATTACAACATAAATGCGCTTTTAGTATTGGACAGTTAAATGTGGATTCAGTGAGTTTGACCCATTGAAATTTGTTAATACGTTTATTTTCACACCTGTTTTAAAAGCAATAAGCACTCTTTTTTTTTAAACGCGTTAATAACAGTGAATATTCAGTACAAGTACTATCCAAAGACTTTGAAAGTTTAAACTTGACTAATACGGAGAAAAACGAGCACAAAATATTACATAAAGGAAAGAAGAAAAAACGATGGCATATATTGCTAAAAAACATAGCGTTTCGAAAGGACGTTACCCCAAAACATAGCGTTTCGAAAGAATGTTTGCCCCAAAACATAGCCTTTCGAAAGGATATAACCCAAAAACATAACGTTTCGAAAGGCGGTTGCCCAAAAACATAGCGTTTTGAAAGGATATAACACCAAAACATAGCGTTTCGAAAGAATGTTTGCCCCAAAACATAGCCTTTCGAAAGGATATAACCCAAAAACATAACGTTTCGAAAGGCGGTTGCCCAAAAACATAGCGTTTCGAAAGGATATAACACCAAAACATAACGTTTCGAAAGGATGTTGCTCAAAAAAAACATATCGTTTCGAAAGAATGTTTGCCCCAAAACAGCGTTTCAAAAGGATATAACCCAAAAACATAACGTTTCGAAAGCATGTTGCTCAAAAAACATAGCGTTTCGAAATAATGTTTGCCCAAACATACGTTAAGGGGTTTGTTCCATATTGGAAAATAAATTTTCACTAAGCGTAATATATGTCCAAGAAAATCATCCAAAGGGAAGAATAGTGTCATTCGGGGAATATCAACATCAAATTGATTTTTTAAAAAGTTTTCAGAAATACGTGCAGAAGTACAGGGGATACAAGGGCTGAATCAACAATGGAATTGTTCGAATACAGTTGACAGAACAGTCTTCATGGAAAATCCCAGTGGATAACGTTTGGCTTTGACTTTCTGCAGGATGATGACCCAAACTATTGTGCCCTGCTGAATAAGAGGTATCTCGAAAAGGAGGGAAAAAAAACCTGGTGTTAGAAAAGTTATAAAATTCCCAATAAGAAATCACGCAATTGGACAGAATAAATTTTATTTCAAAGGGTGTGCTTTTTTCTTCTTACATTTATGGCACAAGTTAAAAGGAAATGTTTCGAAAGAGAAACCAACCATTCCACAAAAACTTTGGAGGTTGTTCAAAGATAATCTAAAAACGTTTCAATGGATAATCTCAAAAATGAAAAGCATCTGTCGCTGATCAATCTTATCATATAACACAGGCCTGAGATGGTTTTATTGTCTTGAAATTTTTACGTGTTCTACAGTAATTCCTGTACGCTGAATCCCAAAATGATATCCATTTTTCTCCATCACGTACAGATGTTTCACAAAACGTCATAAAAGAAAGACCCCAACACGTACTAGAATAAATTGTAACTTGTCTTGAATAAAGTGTTCGATCTGTACGTTTCTATAAAACTTTTAACCATCACTTGTAGTTTGACTATAATCAAACACTCATTTCATCAAATTACGAAGAAGCAAAAATCCTTACAAATTTATGAAAACTGAAACAC